TCCCTACAGGTTGCAATTGGTTGGGATGAATTATTAAGGGATGATCCTAGTAAAGGCATCTTTATAATGGAGTTAGAAGATGAGGAAGAGGAAGCTGATGATGATGGTCAGGCAAATGATGGTGAGGTATGATTGTGATGCAGATTCCATGAATGATGATTATAGAGTTTTATTAATTTCTTGAACAGACAAAAATAGGTGGAGGGTACCCATTCCCTATCCCCTTCAGTCCGTCTGCATGTTGATGATAGACCAGTGAACTAATTACATGACCATTTCATTCCTGAGAGCTCTTTGAATGTTTCACCATCTTCAAATTTTGTGCGTGGTTGATGGTTGTCCTGTAAACTAATTACATGTCTTTATTACAAGGACATCGAAGCGTGGGAATTTCTTGACACCAATGCTAGTGCTTGGGTGTATTTTAAAATTGTGTAAAACAATATACCTTACTGTGAATCTACTGATAAGCTTGTAGAAGATTGCCAGTCATTAGTTGTTTGCACATACATGTTATTGATCCTGTCTGCACACTTGCAATTCTGATGTGTTTTATGTGGAGGTAGTAGAGTTACAAAAAAACTTGAAAACTCTGCACCATCAAGCTGTTTGGTGACAGCTTCAATGTAATTGTTTATGAAAATCATCTTGTCAGCCTCTACTTGGTTTTAATTCTTGATGGTGCTCTTATGCTCCTTAATTGTGAGGTGAAATATCACCATCTGCATTGATATTCAAGATATAGTCTCAACAAGTGAATGTGTTAAACAATTCTCATTCCTTGATGGTTTTAATGTGTTCTATTTTTAAGTGTATTGGTCAGCATACATGATAGTTCCAAATTGTATTTCTACCTTCTTGTTTTGCTGTCCTAAGGGAAACTAATATTCTTGTTATTTTCCCAGCTTCCAAGCACGTTAACTCTCAGGAATTTAGGTAAAAATGTCACTGCTGACTTGCTGGATAGCTTGATGATACAATTTCTCGAGCATCTTGAAGCCTGTGCAGAGAAGAAGCGTTTGAGTGAGGTATTATCTGAAGTTATATTCATCACGTCTGTATTTCATTAGGTTACTTCATAAGTAATTTTTTCCCTTGATGTTATAGGTATTTGAAACTCTTTTATCTTCATTCATGGCAACTATTTTGAACACTTACAAGTCCAAGTTTTCTCAGGTAAGCCCGTGTTCTTGCTTCCATGCTTATGTAAATGGTTGGGGTATGTGTGTTCTTGCTTCCATGCTTATGTAAATGGTTGGGGTATGTGAAGTCTGCTGCGATGTTCATTAGATGCATGGCTTTTCCCTAGATCAACTAGTAGGGTCCTGAAGGAAGACTGAAAAAAAGAGAGGGGGGTGGGGGAGTGTAGAAAGAGGGCTGTCTGTTAGCATTTTTAATAGTGGGTATACATTTTGCATTTCAGGAGGAGTGCTGTTCTTATTTACTTTTTTGTTTGTGCTTGCAGTTCACGATTTTCTATGCCTGTGCACTTGATCCTGAAAATTGTGGTGTGAAATTTGCTCAAACACTTGTGGATTTGTTCATATCTACTTGCAACCCACCAGTTACAAGGTAATGTGGTTTTGGAAGACATGGAGATTAGGTGACCAGTATTTTTATGCATTAATTTTGACAGGGTTGTTCACTCCGGAGTGATATTCTTTTGAGGCACTTGGTGTGTCTCCAAACCTTTTTCCCTTGTGATATGCAGTCCATGCTTTCTGTTACCCTCGACATTAAGTTTTAAAATAATGTTAATTGTTGCATAGGACACGATTGCCATGTTGTCTACTGATTTTTAGTTTTAAATGAATAATTTGCATGTTTGATACAGGATGAGTGCTGTAGCTTATCTTTCTAGCTATTTGGCTCGTGGGAAGTTTCTATCTGCTGCCTTCGTCATGAACATGTTGAAAAGGTTAAGAGACATGCTTAAAATTCTATCTTTGAACTCCAAATATCAAGTCAATATTTTTGTGGTATTTTTGCAACAACTCTATAATATAAAGGAAAATAATTGAAGATAATTTATTTAATCTGCTGCTTGTGTTTATGCTGTTTCAGGCTGGTGGATTGGTGTTTGAGATATTGTGAAGAGCAGGATAGTGACATGAATCCAAAAGCACATAAAGTTTTTTATTCTGCATGCCAGGTATATGGTTGCTTTGACAATAAGTTCAAAAGTTGTCTTGACATGGCTGATGTATTTTTTTGATATGATCTATTTTCCTTTTAGGAAATATAAGTATGGACTCTGTTAATTTTAAAATGTGGGTTCATGATATCTTGTAATAGATAGCCTTTTTTTTTTTACTTCTATTATACGAGGACATTCCATCCTATAGACATTTTATTACATGTCTATCTTCACCATTACTGCTTCAGCTACCAAAAGTGAAGGTGTTAAAACACTGAAACTGAACTGCTTCCTTTGCCTTGAGGCAGCTTCACACGAACCACCACATTTTCCAATTTATAGTGCTTATCTCTCTGTAGTTCATTGCTACTTGGTAGTCCTGCCACTCCCACGACTACTACTGATTTGTTGCTCCATTATTGTTGCAACGTTTATGTTGTTTGAAATTGCACATGTTGGAGTACTGAACCTTTTCTTTCTATCATTGCAAGATCTATTCTAATAGGAGGTTCTTAATTTATGATATGATAGATTCTTCTCGGTGGATGCAGTTGTAAAGCTGATTTATTGATGTTTTTTTTTTCCTTACTGCAGGGAATTATGTATGTGCTCTGCTTTCATATGAAATCAATAATGAATGTTCCTACCCTCAAATCACAGCTCCTCCTCATGCCTATAGAGCCAATATTGAAGCACAAATTGGGGCCATTGGAGGTGAGTGATGTTGCCTTAAAAATAACCACCGTGTCATCCCCCAACTACATTTTGGATAAAAAAACCTTGTGTTAGAGGTTCTAAACTTGTATTGGTTTTGTTGGATTAATAGGTCTGCTTGCCATCAATTGTAAATGAGTTTCTCAAACAAGCTAAAGCAGCCCATCTGTTCACCATCTCCAAAGCATTCATCTTCGAAGATTTGCTGGAATCAGATCTTTCTAGGGATTTTGGTGGGCTGGAGAGGCTGGACATGTTCTTCCCATTTGACCCATGTTTGCTGAAGAAATGTGACAGGTTTGAATTTTACCTCTTACATGGACTTTTCTTTCAAGTCATTTTTTTTTACAGGTTCTTCCCAATATTCAACAGATTTGTAAGTCAAGTCACTATAACAAAGTAAATTATGACAAGTAAAATATTCAGGGGTATGAAGGAAGCGATTTTTGGCATAAAAAATAGATATCGTCATCTGTTTAACATAATTTGCTGAGAAGTTTCATTTTGTTTGTCCTTGGAATTATGTCAGAGGTTTCATCCGGCCACACTTTATATACTGGAACCATGTCAAAACTACCTATGATGATGATGAAGAAGACAGCAGTGACGAAGACATCGCTGATGATTTTGGGGTTCTGAATGAAGAGAATTTCATGGAAGAAGGGATGGCAAGGAGTTTTGATCAAGATATCGATCTTGATGAATTTGACTACGTCATGAACAAGATGTCCATCACACCTAAGAATACGTCTGGTTTCCACTTTGGTGGTCAACGAATGCCTTCAAAGATACGACCCTCAACAAGTCCAGAGTCCTTGTGATACGCCTGAAAGCACAGAAAAGGAAAACTGCATCTCACAAGTTAATGAACATATTATTTTGCTTAGTTGCTCGGCTCACCAAGTTTGGGGTTGGGTCAGTAGTTTTGATTTTTGATGGTGCTGTAATCTATTCTTTGTCCAACTTCCTCGAACATTTTGTGAACTTATCGTATCAGGTTACGAATTTTGTGTCAATTCTCTCTCTTGTGCATTGATTTTTCAGTCTGAACATAAAAAGAATAGGGAAGAATGTTGTTGCCAAGAAAAATTAGAGAACGAACGAGCAACTATTTAAGCTTTGGAGGGAAACGGCTCGTGTGACCTATTCGTCTAAATTTCCTGTTCTGAAGACTGGCATCGGAAACATGATTCAAATGATGAGCGGAAAAGAAACAAAATTTAATTGGATTATAAAGTTGGCTACAATTAGCTAACAAATTCACAAGGTAAAGCAAATTTAAAGGATGTGGGGACCTGGGAAAATAATTTTGACAAGGTGTGTTTTAGCGTTTATCGAAATAGTAAAATAATGCCTTCGCTCTCATAAAAAAAATAAAAATTATATGGTCCGTTAAACATTATAAAATTGACAGGACAGCTAATTTTTTTTTCTTAACATATCTTTCATAATATTTCACTCACAACACAATAAAATGACTTTATTTTTTTAGTAAAATCAACATTTCCTTACTTTGTGTTGGGTTTATTAGTAACTTTTTTTTTTTTTTGATTATCAAGTAGTCTTTCAGATAATTTGATATTTATTAAATATATATAAAAAAATAATTGGCATGTGCATTAAATACATCAGTGAGTAAATCATGCTATATGCTATTGTGTTTAAGCAGCACATGCAAAGGCTAATGTGCAGCTTTAACTGTAGCTTTAGAATTGTTGCGGCATCTTTTTTTTATTTTAACTTTAATTTTTATTTTTTTAATTACTATCTTTTTTTACTTTAAATCCTTTTATATAATTAAAAGTTTTTTTTCAATTTTATCTTCCAATATTTATTTGATTGTGAATTAAGTTTCATGGTTTTTTCAAAGAGGGTATTTTCAATCTAATGATCCAAGTCGTGAGTTTGAAAAGTTAACATTAGTTAACATCGTTTTTTTTTACTTATTTTTTTTCAGCTTTCATTATCCAACATTGTTTTTTATTTAAAAAAATGAGTTTCATGATTTTCTTCATTTTTTTTCCTATGAGGTTTCCTAATCTCATGACTTAAATTGTGAATTTAATGAATTAATTTAGATTGACTTGACTTTTATTACTCGGATTACATATTTGTTATGCTAACCAGGGTTGATTTAGATATTTTTTTTAATTCAATTTCATCATTTCCTATTTAATAGGTCAATTATTGAGCTACATTATTTTTTTACTTTAAAAAAATAAAATTCCAGGCTATCGTGATTTTTTTTAAAATTTGACCGATGTGTTGTTGTTTTTTTTTTTATCATTTAATTAAAATAAAATAAATTTATTTAATATAATTGAGTTTAAAACACAAGTCGTGAATTTTTTTTTTAAAACGTCTTTGAGGTGTTTTAACATCTTTTTATAGTCCCACAGCTAGTTAAAAACTATTATTTGTAAACATTTTTAGAATAAAAATTCAACGGTAATATCAAAACATATCGGAAGTAAAAACAGTCATTTGTGTTCATGTCAAAGGGCCCAATCAAGATACAAATTTATGTTAATCTCTTTGAAAAACTGTTCCAGATGAAGGGAAGCAGAGTAATAAATTCCTAATATATATATGCAAACATCTTCTGGGTCTAGTTTATCTCCAAGGCATATTTAATATAAAAATAAATTCCTATTAATTGTTGTTGGTAGTGAAGGGTCCAATGCTTTGGTTAAAAGAGAATCTAGGCAGACCAAATGATTGACTAAGAATTTCATGGGATGCCGAGCTTCCAACTGCTGATGATCCTGGTACAAGCTTTGGTGAAGTAGACAAATTTTGAAGTCTATTCCATAGCTTGGAATCTTTCTCATCTTCTGAATCTGCAGTAAAACTAGCAACAATAACCTACAAACACAGCCAAATCTTAATGTCTCGGGAATAGAATGCTTTGAAAGTTGTAGCCATAACAAAATAATACATCTAAAGAAAAAAATAAAATATTGATCGGTATTAAGATGAGATATTCTGAAACTTTTTATTTATTTGAAGGTAGCATTCTTGAGCTAGCTTGCATGGATCGAGGCAGACCATTTGTGTTGAGACCTGAGACTGGAACATCCAGTAACATTCAAGTAATAGACTTACATTCTACAAGAGGGAAAAAAGCGGTTGGATGCCTTGTTGGATTCCTTGATGAAGCAGAGAACAAGCTTGCAATTCTAAGTCCAGTACAATTGGATCAATGAAAAAAGAATACAATTAAATGCACCATGAATGGAACAATTTTGCACGGATTTCTTACTGGGTAGAAAAGATAAGAACAACAGTTTGACCTGAAAAGGAGAGGCAGCTCTTAGAAACCACCAACTGACCTAGCTAATGCAACACGTAAACCACCAGTTCTGTGGTGCTGACCATTGATCTCTGAAAGGAAAGAGGATCCAGAAAGTGACAAGATTTCGAAAAACCCTAGCAGCACAGGCAATACAAGGAAAGTTATAGGATGCTTAAGAGCAAAACTCTTGCATGAAATCAAAATTCAGAATCACAAGTATTGACTTTTAGTAAAAAGGTTGATTTTCTTTTTTCTTTTTTGAAATTAAATAGGTGAGTGATGAGGTTCACATAAAACCCCACAAGATCAAGTTCTTTCCCCGACCGATAGGTGAATTAAGAGATTGGAACTTTTGGACTTGGGTTGCATGAACACCTACAAAACAAGTCCTCTTTGTAGATTGTGGAGGCCTTCTAATGATTAAGTCCGTAAGCAAACAATTTTTTTTTGGAGCCAAGATGGACTGTGTTCACAGAAGATGTAAGGATAGAGATGATAAGAAGTTGAAGACGATGCCTTTTGCCCGAGTATTGTCTTTCTGAGCTCTATGTCCACATAGTATGTCCATTTTAGAGATGAGCTTCATGAGCTTGTTGGGTCAACTAGGGCTTTTAAGGAATTAAGCTATCCCTCCCCAGTTCAAGGGAGAAATGGGTCACATGGGCCCCAAAAAAATGACACGTGTCTGGGTTTCATTACTCATTAGGGTTTTGATCTTCTATGTTTTATGGGTGTTTTATGTATAGCTCGGAGGAGTAAATCCGGAGCCCATCAGCACGATCATTCTTTCTTTGGTCAAGGGTAATGGGGAATCGAAAGAAGTAAAAAACGAAAGGAAACCTCGAGGCAATGAACAAGCATCGGCTTGTAGAAAAGGCTAATTAACGGGCCTGCACTAAGGCCTATATAGTGACTTGTTGACTCCATGGAAGCATCATGAATGGGCAGGGAACCATCTTTATACGAGGAGAAGACTATTTAACCAAAAAAGAATTTGATTCCAAACAACACGAGGAAAGTTTAATGAAAGTGGCATATGGTGTTATAGAGTAGTCAAAAAGTAACAGCCCACCATCCCTTCAAACAAAGGGAAGCTAACGAACACAAAAGGTAAAGAATCTCAACATAGCTTTGAAAAAATGCGATCACGTTTGATTATAAACAATCTGATTTTGTGTTGATTATCAAGCTCACTAAACAATGTTCAAGATGGAGAGCACATCATCAAAGACAGAGGTCATGAAGCCATTATTCATAAAAGCTGGCATACCTCTGGTTCTTTCTGTTGCTGGTTTTGTTTATGCCAGGATTGTTCTAAGAAGAAGTACAACTGCTAAACGTTTTCCATTGCAAACCACAGTAAGTCCTGTATTAGATACCATTGATTCTAACGATGATTTTATAGATGAAGCAAGCATTCATAGTCTCCAGTCTACATCTTCACCCATCAAAGATGATGACCAGGAGCACATGATCACAAGTTCCCAGGTTTGTAGTTCCACAGTAGCTTCACATATTCATTTCGAAGAGGAGATATTAGGACTAAGAAACGAAATTGAAGAGCTCCAAAAGAGAGAACACAGCTTGGCGATGCATTTTCTTCGCTATCGTGTTATGAAAGAGCAGGATTCTGTGCTTGAGGAGCTTAAGAACATGTTGTTATTGGAAACTGCTCGGGTCGAGTTCTTGGATAGGGAGATTTCATTAATAGAAGCTCAGACACAAGGGTTTGAGAATTTCATGGTGGAGTGTCGTAGAGTTCTTGAACAGACTGAATTTGCTAAAAAGGAAAATCGGTTACTTGAAAGAAAGGTAAAGAAGCTTTCGAGAAGAACACGAGAGCAATCACGCGTTATAGGTGAAAAGAACGCAAGGATTAATGGTTTAGAAGCAGAAATAATGAGATTCTGTGATGCGCTAGAGATGAGGACGAATGTTATCAAGAAATTGGATGATGAAGTGAGGGAATTTGAATCTGTTGTCAATCGACTACAGGAGGAGATGAATGATCTTCTGGTGAAGCTTGACGCAGCAGAAAGTCCAGCTTCATTGATCTCAAAGGTCGATTTTTATCTTTACCTTGTACTCTGGTATAAGTAGAACTACTATACAACTAATAGTCTAGATTTCTACGAATTATGTGAATGATTACTATATGAATGCCATTGGATTAGACTGAAATTTGATGTAAAAGTAGGTGTCTGTTGCTGATTTTTCTTGGTTGTCGTAGTCTCAGATTTTTCAGTTCTCTCAATCTGCAGATTGAAGCAGAAGGAATAGGAATGGAAGATTATAATAGGCTTGTAAATGAGCTAGAACAACTACACAAGGACAGAGCAGCTGAAACTACAGAGCTTATTTACTTAAGATGGTCAAATGCATGCTTAAGGCACGAGTTGATGAGAAGTCATGGACAACAACAGCTACAGATCGAGGACAAGAAAAACTACTTGGAATTAGAACTCGAAGTAGGTCGAGAAATTGCAGAATGTGACTTGGAGCAGCAGCAGCAGCAGCATGAGGACCCTTGCTTAGGTGTGGCCAGCAGTAGTAAGACGTATTCAAAGAGGAAAAGGTTGCTAAAAAAGCTTAAGAAATGGGTGGAAGGGGGTGATGAAGGCATGCAATCAAACATGGATGAAAAAGGAAAGCATGAAATCAATTGCTTTGGAAGGCATTCTGTTTCAGAAGGGGCCGAGGAAGACCACCTGATGTATTCAAGGAGGTCTTGTTCTAGTGCATGAAAACTACCTCAATAACAAGCTGTCTTGCTTGGAGAATGTTGCTCTAACCATATGGAAATAACTCATCATGTTTAATGAATTAAACAGACACAATGTGGGTGGTGTTCATTATATCATATTACATTATCTTGCTTTAATGTGGCTGGTGTTCTAACCTTTTTTGGGGGAGGATATATTATTGGACAAAAAGAAAACAGAAACGGGAAAATGGAAATTTTCTCCAATTATATTATTACATGGGATTTCAAGAATTGAGAAAATATGAGAGAAAAAAAAGTGGGAGCTGTTTTCCATGAAGAAAATTATTGTAAGATTAGGGATTTTGAATTTTTATATTTTAAAATCTTAATTCCTTTCTTGTTTTTGTTTACACGACGC